ATATAACCTACACAGTGACTTCCAAGTGTGTATCGTGATAAAAGAGCTTGGGGCTCCCCTTGGGGAGCACCCATTTGGGTGTCTTTTATTCCTGAGAAGAGTATTATATTCTTCCTCTCTAGTTGAGAATGTGTTCTCTCATTTTATGTCCATTCTGACATTTGTGAAGAGCACCTTGGGTTGTGCTCAAAGCACCATTGGGCACTTTTTGTTTCACATGAGAGAAACAGTGACTGACTGGGCCCTGTCTCCAAGGATTTCTTGTCCTTAATTCAGAAGATTGGTTTGGCCCTAGAAAGACAGTGAACTGAGGTCATTTGAACAGCTAGGAAAAGTGTTGTACCCGGAGGGGAGACTGACTCTGACCCGAATGATTACAAAAGTCTTCCTGGAGGAGACAGCTTGAGCCACTCTTGATGTGGGAGAGTATTTGGGGGGGGGCATTCACGCTGAGGAAATGGCATGAGCAAAAGCACATTTGTGAGCAGGATGTGGTGACAGCAGCAGTTAGAAAGGTAGGGAGGCTGGGCGCAGTGGCTCACGCCTATAATCCCAGCACTTTGGAGGCAGAGGGGGAGAGGACTCCCTGAACTCAAGGGTTTGAGACCAGCCTGGGCAACTTGGTGAAACCTCATCTCTACCACAAATAAAAGATTTAGCTGGGCATGATGATGCATGCCTGTAGTTCCAGCTACTTGGGAGGCTGAAGCAGAAAGATCACCTAAGTCCAGCAGGTCATGATCATGCTGCTCTCACTGGGTGAGAGTGAGACTCTGGCTTAAAAAAAAAGTAAGGCCGGGCTCACTGGCTCAGCCTGTAATCCCAGCACTCTGGGAGGCCGAGGCAAGTGGATTGCCTGAGCCCGCGGGTTCGACACCCGCCTGGGCAACTTGGTGAGACCTCATCTCTACAATAAATCAAAAACTAGCCGGGTGTGGTAGTGCGCGCCTATAGTTCCAGCTACCTGGAAGGCTAAGGTGGAAGGATCACTGGAGCCCAGCAGGTCGAGGCTGCGGTGGCCGGGGGCGTGCCACTGCACTCTAGTCTGGGCAACTGAGTAAAACTCGAATTCAAAAAAATAAAATAAATTAAAAAAAAAGTAACAGGGGGCCCAGCTGAGGCACTAAAACGCAGTGTGGAGCCTTGGAAGGATTTTGAGAAGGGAAGGAGGGACACAACTTTATTTATTTTATTATTTTTTGAGTTGGAGTCTCTGTCGCCCAGGCTGGAGTGCAGTGGCATGCTTCCAGCCACCGCAGCCTCGACCTGCTGGGCTCTAGTGATCCTTCCACCTCAGCTTTCCAAGTAGCTGGAACTACAGGCACATACTACCACACTCAGCTGTTTTTTTTTATTTATTGTAGAGACGAGGTCTCACCATGTTGCCCATGCTGGACTCAAACCCACGGACTCAACCAATCCTCTCGCCTTGGCCTCCCAAAGTGCTGGGATTATAGACTTGAGCCTCTGTGCCTGACCCATAGCTTTATTTTAATGACTGGTGACTGGGAGGAGGGTCTGCCTGGTGGTAAATGAAAGCATCTGAGAGTGTGGGCAGTGAAGGACAGATGTGACATTGTGGAGGACCTTGGACCTGACAGAAAAGAAGAGAGCAGTCCTGGTTGGTCCCAGGGCCCAGTGTCAGCCGGTGCTAGAGGAGGGCGCACGGGAGCTCCAGTCCCTGCCGACCCATCACTTGGCAGGTGGAAGGTGGAGTCTGCCACGTAGTGGTCTTACACATTAGGAGCTGTGGGATGTGAAGGGCCATAAGGAGGGGACTCGGGGCACGTGAAGAGGTTGTGCATCAGGGAGAGAGCAGTTTTCATGAGATAACTCGAGAATCTCCAGCTGGCATCTCGCCTGTAGATGGCCACACTCTTAGCCACTACATTCATAGGACACAGGTTCTGTGGGGAGACACAGAGGAACCAACACACTTTATGGCCTCTGTTTTTAAATAGCTTGCAGTCCCTGTTCTTCCTTTGCATTTATGGAGGAGTAGCATTTAAATGGGGGTTGGGAGGTACGTGAAAGAAAGAAAAACACTATGAATGAGATCACCTGAAATGAAGACACTCTATTAGGGTCACTGGTTTGAGAATTAAGATACCAGTTCTTCACTATAAGCGTTGAGGAACATGCTTGTCTTTTTTGCTGGGGGAGGGACCCATTTCTTTGGGAAAGGTTTTGCTGGTCTCAGAGCTGAAGGATTTGCGTTGGACTGGGCCACCCACGACGCAGCAGGCAGTGAGCGGCTTTGTAAGATGTTCAAGGAGAGGTAGAGGCCTTCAGCCCAACCCTGTGTCCACGGAGTAAGGTGATGAAGCACTGTCAAACAAACTGTGGCAAAAAAACAGACCGTGACACCCAGGCTATCCTAAGAAGTAGTGGTTTATTAGCAAGTCACGCCAATGCTCCAAGGCTGAGCAACCTGGAGAAAGAAGAGAGGGGTTTTATCTGTTCATTTAGGTAAGGGAGGGGATCGGGTTGTATGGCTATACATTTTTCTTTGGAATTTGCAAGATGGTATTCAGCAAAACCAGATTTTCAAAGAACAAATTGTCTCCAGGGTATACATGACAAGCAGGGGTTGTAAACCAATAACTTGACAAAGAGAGGATGTGGCGATAAGGTTGTGAATGGATTGCTATCTTGCATTTTCAGGAAAGTGACCTTTGGCTATTTGGTTTTCTGAAGCCCCTTGTCTAGCAGGCTTTGGAGCTTGCAAGTTGATTTGTAAAAGAAATAATTTTAACCCCTCTCTGCCACAAAACCACTGTGGTTCCATCTAGTTTAAGGGGTTGTACAGAGTCAGAGTGGGGCCTGAAGGGTGCAGGGCCTGCAGGCAGCCCTGTTTAGAAGGTTCCTTTCCTTGTCTCTGTCTTTGGAAAATGGCAGTTAGTCCTTTAAAGGACCATCCCCTGTGGTGAGGTAGACTTTGTAGCTTAGATGCCCCCCTTAATTTCCCCTTCCTCTTGGAAGTCTTACTTGGACTTCTAGTGCCTCTGCAACTGGTAGAGAATTTCCTTCTGGAATAACTTTGGACTGGTGAATGGATTTTGTTATAATGAGGGGAAGGGTGTCCCTTATTCATTCTTTCCCATTTGTTTGCCTCTTCATATTCTAACAGGGTACAGGAAATTGCATGCCAGTGCATACACAGACAGACACACA